ATATGACTAATTTCATTCAAAAGTATAGGATTCATCGCTATTTACAGTGTTTTCGGCTGATACAATATGTTCACGAAGATGGCACATGAAGCATTCATGAAGATAAAACAGGTTAGGCGTAGATCTTGGGGGGGGGGCTACCATATATATATATATATAGCGCGGACTTGGAACCGCGAGTTCATCCGCTTTTTGCATCATCTGCAAAAGTTGATGCAGCTGCTGGCACAGCCGCCTGGGTGAGGGCGGACTCATAAAGGATGCGTTCAGGAAGAATGGCTTGCAGTATGGAGGGCGGAGGACGTGCTGGTGACCGTTTAGCTCAATGTCGGCTTGTCGCATCGGTGCAGCACCACTCCATTGCCATCTTGTGGCCTTGTGGCTGACACACCTTTTTCGGCTAAAGGTGAGCACAAATCATGTCAGCGCCCCCCAGTTCTTTCTCACGCCGCAGCAGGAAGGATGGGTGACCGGAAAGGGCTGGGTGCAGCGGGATAAGGAGAGCAGCGGGGAGGGTGTGCACGTTGCAGATAATCCTATGGCGTCTGCTAAGACGGAGCCCCCTGCTTGATTTTCAAAACCGACGATATGACCAACCTCTTCTGTCTCCGTGCCTTCACAAAAACTGGAAACGACATTGATGTAGACGAGCAAGGCGTGTTCAAAGTGCAGGGCAAAGCACAGCGCAGCAAACAGAGGTTATAGTCAGATAAAACAAATTGTTGGATGCCAGAAGCAAAAGATATTATTGTCTAAACGCATCTAAACCCCAAAACGCCACACTCGGCGAATTCTTGGCGGACTCATAATCTAAAAGCTCCGCCGATGGTCCTTGTTGAAGCTGGGGATCTGGGAGGGTCAGCTTGCCATCCACACCTGTCCGCCCATGATGTGGTTTTATCGTTGGGCCTGGGTCTCCGGCACCAAGCAAAATACGTTTTTTCTACAGCTTCGGATATGGGGTGTTGCTTTGCAGGCCAAGATGCTGAAGTATCAGCTGCGCTGCAAGCGAGGCGACTAAGTTCTGTTTTCCCAGACACTCCTGGGCTGCCTGGGTTTGAGTGCCACGAGAATATTGGCCAGGATTGGCTGAGAAGCTGATCAAAGTGTCGGCTGTCAGCAACGCGACTATAGAGGCCCGGATCACATCGTGCGCTTTCAGTTGACCTTCTGATTCTTGGCCTCACCTGCACACCCCATCCTTCCAATTCTTCCTTGCAGGAGGCACACCTCACTCAGTGGACCAAGGTCATCAGTCGCAAATACCTCAGAATCTTTTGAGAAGCAAGCTGCAGCCTGTCGAAGCTGGTTTTGAAGCATCGAGTTTGCCGCTCAGGTTGCAAAATAGATCCTGATCTCATGCTCGACAGCTTGCAGGAGCGAGCCTCGCAGATCTGCAGGCAGAAAGGGGATTTGCGGAGAACTGTTGAAGTTCTTGGGGTTGCCCAGACACAGAGTTGCTCCGTGACTTCTTTTGGAGGTCAAAGACGATTCTCTACGATGAGTCAACAGTGACCCGCATCCTGTCGCAGAAGAAGCAGCTTGCCAGATGACTGATTTTGACTCGTGTTCAAGCGCAGTAGCTTCTACGTCTGAAGAGTAACAGGGGCCGTCCCGTTTCTAAGGACAATAGAGTTTGATGCGCAGAAGCAGTCTCGCATGGCTTGCCAAGTGCAGCTTCTTTGCTGCAAGAAGTCTTTCCTTGGGGGCAGCACGCCCTGATTGGTGGCCTGAAATAGATAGATAAGGATTGGGCTGACTCAGATGGATATCAGCAACATCCGAGAGTTTGAAGTCCTCAAGCTGGGAAAGGAGCACGTGTCCCGGCAGCAGTTTGTGGTGTTTGAAAAGCGACACGCCGTACGTGTAGTTCAGTCTCGTAGATGGTTGTACTCCCCTGGAGCGTTAATGTCCCTTTTCTACACCAGCCAGGCATATCAAGCCTGGATACTGTACACTAAGTAGTTTTTTTTTTCCTTCTTTATTTTTTATTTGGGGCTACTAAGGTACCCATCATAGAGTAAGATTACATCCTCCTTTTGGGTATAGTATTTTCTATCAAGAATATTATCTTACTAGGTTCAACTACCAAAAAACACTACTCACTTGGAACCCGGACTAAAGTGTGTTGTCTTTTTCCACCTGGGCAGCTTCCCTCCTTCGGCTCATGCGTGGCCAGCTTTCTGGTGTTGTTGCTGGGGCGCTTTGCCTCAAAGCATTATAAGATAACAGTTGATGGAGAAGGAGGCGCACCAATCAAGTGCTTTTGACTTCCCATCCTCACTTGATGTTGGATCTTCCACTGCTCTGTAGTTGTTGTCCTGAAGGTGCCAGATCTGTGCATTCCTTGACATTCTAGTCTCCAGCTTGGACTGGGAACTAGGCTTCGAACGCGTCATCTAAGGAAATTGCCAAGCAACATCTGCACCAAATGCAGAAGAAGGAGCACTGTCCTGGTGCAGCTTTGTCTGTCGGCACATGTTCCTCCAAGGTGCAGGGTAAGCACCTGCTAGATAGCACTCTGCTTGTTTCTGTTTTTTTGGGCATAAGCGCCTTGTCAGGAGTACGAGAAGCACGAGGAATGGTTCCAACATGCGCGGGGCCTTTTCAGCCGGTGACTCAGATTTCCACGTAGACTTGTGAGTTTTGCGAATGAAGGTGATCAGGATCTTGCTGCCATATCAGCTCGGTATGCGAGGAAACAAGTCCATTGCAGAGCAAGCTGCTGTGCTTGCCAAGATTCCAAGATGCAAGGTGCCAAGGAAGTGAATCGCATGAACCACGACCGTCAAGTTCGTGATGACAAGCATGCGCTCCAGATGCTCAGCTGCAATGCTTTGCACACTGGTGGAGTCAGTGAGAATCTGAGAGTTGAGAGAGGGAAACGTCGGCCTCAGCCACCTAGTCGCCGCTTTTTTTGAGTCTCGAAGCTTCAAACCAATTTTTCCATCCTGCATCGTTTCGTACACTTTGAACTGCTTTATACTTTCAATGTTGTCTTTTTTTGACTTTTTTCTGGATGTCCACATCCCCACGCAATTTCAAGGTTGCATGTTTGCATGCAATTTCTGGTTTTCAGATTTTCGAATGTTTTTTTTTAAAGCAATTTGATTCCGCATTTTTGTTGCCTGGCGAAAGAACGGGAACCATGGATGCAAAACGTGGGCCTCAGCATGTTATCTGAGATTCTTGGTCCCATTATCCGAGAATTGAGGCCACATGATTTTCAAGCATTTCCGTGCAAACACCACAGGTTTTCCAACTGTAGATGCAATCTGTTTCACGACCTGCTCAGAGTGAATGCAGTATGTCTAGGGGTAAGTACATCAAAGATGTTAGCCAGCTGAGGTATGCTCTTGATAGCGAGAAGCAGGAGGACAGGTTTTACGAGAAACTGCCTGGCTCCTTGGTCTTTCTGGAACTGGAAAGCTTAAATTCAGGACGCTGAGACCGGCAGACTGAATCCCTTCGAAAGGAGGCTGGGAGCATCTTGCATAGGGATTAGTAGGTGGCGGCACGTACTTTGGCAACACAGCAGCTCCTGAAAACCTGAGGGCCTGCCGACCAGTGTCTGCTTGGGATACGCGGCTCAGCCAAAGTGAGGAGCTGTGGATTTTGCAATTTGTGCTTCGATTTCTCGGATGCAAGCTAGATTTCATAGGAGCTGGACCGGTGGAAGACGGCCAACGTTGCTGGGCCTCAGCAAGTCAGGAGGGGCCCTGAGAGCTGGTCACTCTCAACTTGGCAGCAACCAGACGCCAAGGCGCTTCGCCAGCAGGCCACGCGCGCTGCGGAGGTGGATGCCCCCAGCTGTCAAGCTCTCCGCATGGGTGGAGGGGTGGGTGGTTTCGGGGGAAGGCTAGTTGAAAGACGACTTGCTGTGATGGCCCCCCCAATTTAGCTGCAGCACGGCACCTTCAACGCTGCGAGGAGTTTGTTCCGGATCTTACCAGTAGGTTTCTTTCGTTCGTTGGTTCTTTCAGGGTCGTAGTGATCATATTCACGAGTTCCATGGCATTTCAGCTCGAGCATGGGCTGCAGCCATCCCTACCATTGACCAGGGGCTGCCCATGTACCAAGAAGGCTACACGCCCCTGAGTTCGGGTGATGGCGGGCAAGGAGGCAGGTGTTCGCCATTGAAGTCACTGGTTTGTCTGTTGCTAACACTATGTCCGCTTTGTGCACTGGTTCCGGGCAGCTGGAGAGAGGGCTTCGAGGTGATGTCTGGTTGGCTGGGAGTGCCTCCACCCATCGCCGTGACAAGCTGTGGACCGGTGCATGGGCTCTGGGAGGTTGCGGAAGGCGTGCCTATTGCAGCTTTCAGAGGGATCAAGTTTGGCACGACCGCACGTTGGTTGCCTGCCAGCCTGACATGTCCGGCGACCCAAGTGGCAGTTACCGATGGTCCCGCATGCTTCCAGCACGATCCCAACCAGTACCACGCTGGACAGAGCGAGGACTGTCTTTACTTGAACCTTTTTGCGCCTGCCTGTGCGGCGCGCGGCTCTTGCGCTGCACTTCCTGTGATCGTGTTCTTGCATGGTGGAGGTCTGCAAGGAGGCGATGCGTCGGGGTACAGCGGTGTCCAAAATCTAGTGGCACTTTCAGAAAACACAATTCTGGTTGTTTGCCAGTACCGTCTGGGTGTTCTCGGCTTCATGGCAACGCCTGAGCTATCTGAACGTGATCCGCGTGGAGTGAGTGGGAACTACGGTTTCTTAGACCAACAGCTCTGCCTCCGCTGGGTCAGGGAACACATTGCATCTTTTCGAGGTGACCCGAAGAGCATCACACTGCTGGGGCATTCTGCAGGTGCCACGACAATCAATGCGCATCTTGCGGCACCCGGCTCTGTGGATCTCTTTCACCGTGCCATCCTTCTTTCTGGCAGCCCTGGTACTCCGAAGCTGTCCCAAGCAGAGAAGGAGTTGCAGGACACCTCTCTGTGGCTACCTGCTGCTGGCTGTTCGGGCTCAGACTCGCTGTTGTGCCTCCTGAACCTTGACCCGGGCTTCTTGTCTGACTCCCTCCCCGAACGCTACAGGCCGCATAGTGAGAACTCAAATGTGGACCTTTGCCGCTGCTACCGCTGCTACCTGTTGTGTCTCTCGTGAGGCACTTTGACCAGACGGACTACCCCACAGCACCTGCCCCAGCCGGGATAGCCTGGGCTGAGCTTCTTCATGTGGACGGCGTGTCAATCCCGTGGTCGGCTGCAGAGGACGGCTGATGAAGGTAATCTCAGCATTTTCGATCTGTCAATACAGCTTCCCGTAGTTTCTCGAACCAGTAGTTGAATCTGGCAAACTACAGAGGCATTTGGGCGAGCGCATGGTGTTTCGCTGCTGATCCAGACCATGGAGGTGGTTTGCTTGCAAGTACAGCTAGGTTTTGCCAATGTCTTGAGTCGATGAATTCGAACTGTCACTGCAACGCTTGCGTGAAGCGATCGCTCTTTCGCATGACTATATGATGCGATCGAATCGTCTTATGTTTTCTCTCCGCTCTTGGGACAGTAGTTTGTCTCCCAAGAACGTACTCCCCGGCACTAGGCAGAGATGGCCGGAGCACCGCCAAAGCCTCCGCGGCTCCCACACTTCGCTGACGAAGATGCCTTTGCGGACTTCTTGCTTGCTAGGCGGGGCCCATTCAGAATCATCCAGAGCACGCCCTGCATGCCCTGCTCTCCTTGTTCTTACGTCGCCTCAACACACCTCGGCTCTGGGCCAGGCTGGCGAAGGGATTTGGGCCGGCCTTCGTGGCCTTGCTGACCGAAGCTTACAGGGAGTTTGAGCCCAACCTGGCCAAGTATGTCCTGGACAGTGCCTTGGCAGAACTTTCCAGTTCTCTTGGCTGTGGTCAATAGCCCGCTTATGACTTCAGAGTGAGGCGAGACTGGTAACGGCTGTGGCTACCGGGCTCTGGCACAGGTTGCATCCCAGCAGGGTGTCGCGGTCTATTTGGGCATGGTGAGGCGAGGGTTCTCCAACAAAGCAAAAGTCCAGGAGACTGCACACCCCGTCAGGTTGGGCCCAACAAGACCAGTAAGGTGGAGATCTGATTGCACGGAGATACTACATCCGCAACTGGGACAAGACGAGTCAGATTTAGATGTGTAGATTCGGTTGCTGCAGTTGACAGGTATCCCTTCCACGGTTGGGAACTAGCCGCGGCGACGCGGGCCTGGAGCAAGCTTTGGTTTGGAGCTTGCCAGGGCTACCAACCCTCCCGCACAAGCGGCTGCAAGCATTGTAAGTTGAATAAAGGGAAGGATACGCATAAGGAGCAAGGGGAGCTTGCAGCAGCATGCAGCAGCAAGAAACTGGACGGTCTAAGGCGAGGACAGGATTTTCTCGGACTTGCAGAGGAACATGTGGCTGACCTTTGTGCACGGCGGCCGGCTCTCCAACATAGACATAGGCTGGAATGGCCTGGATGATCGGCATCCGCTGGCCATGAGCCTGACAGGCGGGGAAGAGCGTTGATGTCACATCTCCAGACATGACAGCCCATTTCCATAGAGGCAGCTTGGGCGAGACGCTGCAGTCACGGACCAGTGCCAAGCGTTGTGACCTCTGGGCAATGCACAACGTTACAAGCAACTGGTACTGGAACAATCGTTAGCAGCTAGCCGTGGACTCTGCTCGGGCGCAGTGTTCTCGGCTTCTGATAGATTTTCTGCGCGAAAGCTACGGCCTTCCTCGAGCGGCGCGGTTTACGTGCTGAAGTCATGCAGATAAAAAGCAAAGCCCAAGGCCGTGGGTCTGGATCAAGATCAACACCGGTCAGTACCACATGTCTTTGGTCAATAGGATCTGTAGCCAATGTTTGCATGGCACTGCCGTGCCTATAATCACTGCAATCATCTTTAGTTGCTTGAGTCATCAGGCACTGATGTCCTGAACTGACAGAACTCAAGACATTCGGGAAACAGAACGGAAGTTCTGCTTGAGCCCTCAGGTCAAGCTCCGAGGCACAACGAAGGCACGCCGTGTGTCGGTAGCTTGAAATGTCGGGAAGTGCTTAGCCATGTGAGGTTCCTGTCAGCAAAAAGAGAGTTGCCTCAGCTGTAATCTTTTAATTGGAATCAAAGCCCAATTATCCACGGACAAGGCTTGCATGATACTCGTAGCCTCAGCTGCAGGAACTTATGTGTGTTGTGCCAGGCTAGCAAAAAGAGCGTGGAGGCCTGACTGCGGAATGGCAGCTACTTCCAGCAATGCAGCCCTTCCTGGATGTCGGATTGTCCAGGATCCGGGAACTGCTGCGGGTGCAAACTCAGATATGGCTGAGGCTAGCACCTTCTCCTAGCATGGATGCATCACACAGCTGTGAAGATGTTGAAGCCCCAGCAGGCCAAGCAGGGCAAGCAAAAGAGTGTTGAGGCAAGTCGCTCTGGACATGTCACGGCTTAAGATGTATCTTTCCCGTCCACACTCTAGGATCCGCCATTTCCTGCGGGGGCAAACTCGGACAAGTTAGAGGCCGGCAGCACAAGAAATCATTGGGGACTGAACGATCGCGAGCATGTTGTTGACCGGGACACGTTGACTTTTTGTGCTAGCCAGGACAAGCAGAAGAGTGTGGAGGCATGCAGCTCTGGATGTTGCATGTGGATTAGCATCCTTACCATGAGACTGTTTAGGAGCCGCCGTTTCCTGCGGGGGCAAATTCAGATAGGGTGGAGGCCGGCAGCGCACATGGCACGTTTGTGAGCATGGTGACAGGAAAACGCAGTCTGTGCTGCCGCAGAATGTGTTTTCAACAGGCCACAGCAGATGCAAAGAAAAAGGAACAGGCTTTGGAGGTGCGCCACTCTGATGCCCGATGGGTGTATAGTACATCCATCACGACACATGTATGCACATGTCAGCTGTTTTGTATGCGCGATTGCTTTCTTGTATGTGCGCAATTGTCTTATGATGACAGGGGTTACGAGGTCCTGGTTCTGTTTGCATCTCACGCAGGAGGAAATTCAAGCGCAGAGAGAGAACGCCGAGAGGCGGAAGGCACACGGGAAACATGCGCTATGCTTCGAGCGGTTCTGGCGCTCTGGACTGCTTATAGTATACTATAGTAGTTTCCATTTTCTTTTCCATTATCCCATTATACCCATTATCCCAATATTATGCCCATTATACCTATGGTATCTGCGCAGGTCGACCTTGAGCTGCTGGCCTTGCTAAGGGAGACTTACGAATGAGGCAAGCAGCGTCCGAAAAGGCCGTGCACATTTGTTTGAGAACCAGCGAGCTGCCCAGTCAACTAGTGTAGAAAGGCGTAGAGAGCAGCAAATGCAACTGCGGCATGAGCCCCAGAGCTAGTCTGGATGGTCTCAAGTCCTTGTTGCAATTGAAGCCCGGGGGTTAAGTGTTGTTGTGAACTGCAAGGCCCCACTCAGGCCCTACACTGGTGCGTACTCGTAGGTTTTGCAATAGAGTTGCCCACCGGCACGGCACAGACTAGCCTTAGGCCGCCTTTCGACCTTGTAGTGCAGAGCGAGGAAGAGTATCTGAAAGAGGGGTAAAGAAGGTCATATGCAGCCTTTCGCAGCTTTGTCTTGGGGATTCCCAGGCCAAGCTTGGCGGCGCTGGCGCCGCGACTTCTTTGCACTCGCCGCTGTGGCAGAGCTCCGCTCGCAGGAGCGAGAACGCGTGAGAGGCTGTGCAGCGGTCACTTTGGAGATCTCTCGAGACCTGCAGGTGGCTCAGTGGGATCCGACTGCCCTGCCTGCAGGGCTGGATTCTCAGAATTTCCACGGGCCTTGAGACAGGAAGTGCCGCTGATTTCCGAATGTCCTTGAGAGACGGACATATCACCCCCTCACAGGCTGCAGGTGCAGTCGCTCCCTCAGGCCGGAAGATAGCTTTGCAGCTCCCAAAGTTGCTGTGAGTCGGGGCGACTGTAACTGCAGTACGTTGACTTAGCCAAGTGATCAGGCACTGCGGATCCGGCTACCGGCCGTGGCGCCGGGCGCCTTGGAGGAGGTCTTCGAGCTGGTGGGGCCGCCCTGCAGGTTTCAAGTTTCGGCACAGTCTGGTGACAGCTGTTCGCGTCGGTTCTTGGCTTGTGTTGGAGAATCTGATGGGGATGTATAAGCTTGTGGGTTGTCACTTTTTCAGGAGCAGGAGCTTCTTGCTCATTGAGCTGCTTCGACTGCTGGGTGGCCGCGATTGCTTGGAAAGATCGCTTGAACATAGCAAGAGACAATCGCATCGCAACTGTTGGCAATGATTCAGATAAAGCCTATTCAGAAGCCCTGCCAAATGAGGCGTGCTTACCCACAAACCGCATCAGCCTGAAAAGAGCCTTGAACGGGATTGCCCAAATGCAAAGCTCCAGCAAACGACGCTTAGCTATGCCTCGATGAACGGTCATGGCCTCGACAAAGGGCGAGGACTTGAATGTGCTCTTCAGATACTTCAGATCACTTCAGATGATCAGATGAGCTACAGTCCAAACTCCTTAAGCGGGCTTATATAGGGGATTATATAGGGAACTACTATAGGGGTTATTAAGGGGATACTAGGAGTTTAGACCATAGCTCAGGTGACCATCAGGTTTTCTTAGTTTGTATTTGGCAGGACGCCGGTCCAGGCGAGTCTCGTGAGGTCATAGACTGAGCTGACTGCTTGCAGCCTGTCTGCTGTCAGGTCGAACTATGGATACGGAAACCTTTCATGACCTTGGTATACTATAGCTATAGCACCAGAATTCCCAAGGCATACCTTACCTGGTGCCACGCATGATTCTGAGTCCCCACCAAGTTTCTTGTGTCGCCGGCGAGGTTTCTGCTGGCGTTGGCAAGGATGCTGCGGCTAGGGCCCAGGCTTCAAGCCTGCCTGGTCTCGTGGACAGTGTCAACAGCGAGGAGATCCTTGCAAGTGCTTAGCCACGGCTTAGCCACGATAGCACGTGAACCAAGCTTATCACGGTAAGCAATTGCCCCTGGAACAGGGAAAGCATGGGAAGTCAGTGAAACCTTGCAGGGCCTCGCCTCCATGAAGCCCACTGCGCGTGTGGCCTCACCCGAGCCAGAGGCCTCTGAAGATGCTTAATTTAACCGCTAGCGCAAGGGCCACCTCAGCAAAGGTGCAGGGGCGTCAGGGGGAGGGGTGGGGGAGGGGGGTCCCTCGCTTGGACGAGACCGCAACCCAGCCGACCAAATGCAGGGACCCCCTACCCAAACCCCAAAAACGACAACTTTTGCAATTTGCCAATCCATAACGAACATTGTGGGGTGGCGGTCTGGGGGGGGGGGGTGGGCAAACCATACTTGGTCCCCCAGTGAAGATCACGTGTATGCCTGGCGTGGAACGGTGTGCATTGCGCCAGTGCCTGGTGGATGCCAAGTTGTAGATGTCGGTAGTCTGGAGGCCGCTTCTGTGGCTGTGGCGCCTCCTGAAGATGCGCCGCCAAAGTGTGCAGCGTGGCCACAGCAGTCTTGAGCGAAATTGAGCTGGCTTCAGTCAGAGAGGTTGCATGCGTCACATCCAGTGCTGGCCTTGGTACGGCCTCAGCTCAGGCTAGCCCACAGAGCCACAACAAGTCCTACATCGAGCAAAAGATCGGTGGCCTAGCCAAACATTGCAGGGCTGTGGACCCGAAAGAACGGCTCTAAGGAAAGACTTCAGTGTTAAGCAGGTCCAGCCCGTATATATATATATATCTCTCTCTCTCTCTCTCTCTCTCTCTCTCTCTGTTGCTCCTTCATTCTGTTTTCTAGAGGTGCCTGGGTGTCCTTTCACACCTTGCATTCCGACGGGATGAGCACCAACATGGAGGCACCTGGACCTTCAGAAGCTACAAGTGTAAGCCTCTCAGCCAACGCTCGCAGGATCCTTTCCCCGCAGTCAGCTGGCAATGGGAGCACCGGAGCGGTCATTCGACAGCGTGTGTTGTTGAACCTGTTAAGGGCGTTGTTTGTTTTTTTGGTAGCTTGCGCCTTCCTCTTACAGGTTGGCGGGACTACCCCCGCAAAGTGAGTACGAAGATCGAGCTCGCGTACCGTGCCGGGGAAACCAAGACGCGTGTACAGACCGGGAAGAGCCTTGGCATACGTTAACCTTTCTGACAATGAAGAAGTTTCGGCTTGCTTGCCTTAAGCAATTCCTTCACCAGGCTTGATCTTGGCTTCACATGCTTTCATCCGGCATGCAACCAACAAGCCAGCAAACCGGTGCAGGAAAGGGTCTGTGCCGATGGAGATCTTCTTTGAGGCGGGAGGGTCTTCAAAGCATTTCCGTGCTCAACCAGAATACGTGTAGTATACATGGGACATACTCCTCACGCTACAACATGACCACTTACACCTGCGGACAAGACGCGTAATGCGTTCAAAGAGGATATGCTCCAGCATGACCCGATCTCCGGCAACACTCGGAACGTGAACCGGAAGGGCTCCTTCAGTACTCGACCCCTGGCCTCTTATGTATTCTGTTTTGTCAGGATGGCTTTTCCAAACACATGTGCGTGCCGCTCTCACGTGGTGCTGAGAACCTATCATCATTTTAGGACAGAAGGTCACGCGCTTCCTGGGCGGTGTGGTCAGGCACAGTTGAGAACCTCCATTTTGTGTGCAGATGTCGTCCTTTTTGAACTTTGAACTGCCACAGGATGCTGGAGACCGGGAAGCCACGGAAGGAGCCGCTGCTGTGCTGGGGTAGGGGCGGTTCACGATGGGTCGTGTATGGTTGTGTTTGGTTTACTGTTTTTCGATCTGTTCCGCAGGAGCGCTTCCACGACTATCAGCAGCGACGCAAAAGGCATGTGGACCCTGATGCGCATCAGGAGCTGAGTCGCTAGAAATGCATGATCCAAAGCAATATGGTTTCTGGATGTTCCCGGCAGAGATGTTCCCAAGAAGCGGACAAGTAAATCCTCTGTCTTTTTGTGTGGTGTTTTTTCAGGAGCCGGTCAAGGAGAGCCCGTACCACAATGGCTGCTGCGGGCTGTGCGCTTCAAGCCCGGTTTTCTTTTCTTGCAACTGGGCAGATGTGGGTGTGTTCAGAGGTTTTCAGCGCGCTATAGACCCTTTCCTCAAATAGGGACGCTCCGTTCTGATTTGTGGAGCAACCAGCTAGAGTCACAGCTTTGCATCTCCCTGAGCTAGGCACCATGTGCATGGTTATTCTCTATTGCCTTTGGCTGGGCGTTGAAGCGGCGCCCGGGCTGCAGTCCAAAGAAGCAGAGGAAGCGGAAAAAGCGGAATCTGATTCCCATCCAGACCCTGGCAGGATCTCAACACGAACAAGTCCCACAACTTGTACGAAGCAGAGCCTCGGCAGTGTTGGCTGAGGAGAATCTTTGTCTTGATCGAGCCAAGCTCCAAGGAACCTGTCTTCCCTGTGGTCGAGAACATTTTTTGTGTGTCTCTGCAGCTCTTGAGACATATGAGCTATAGTCTAAACTCCTAGTATCCCCCTTAATAAGACCTATAGAAATCCCCTATATAATTCCCTATATAACCCCACTTTAAGGAGTTTAGACTCTGGCTCATATGGGCTGGGCTGGCTTCTGGGATGACTGGGACGGAGGAGTGTTGGACTTGACTGAGCTGCAGGTCTTCTTCACTCTGGAACTCATCATTCGCTTCTGTGGCTTTCGCAGAAAGCGGAACTGTTTCCAAGACATGTGGTTCCTCTTCGACCTAGCCCTGCACTCAGATTTCAGGACAGGTGTTTCGTCCTTCATGCTCTGCGCAGAGACTTTGGGCTAAGATTTTGATGCTGCTGATGGTGGCAGAGCTTTGGATCGTGCCGATCCTCCTTGTCTTCGTGCCAGAGCTGAGCTGGGAGCCTGGATCCGTATCTTTGTCCCCGTGACTTCAAGGCTCAAGGAGAGGGTGCATGCAGGCTCCTTTTGGGTTTGCGTAGGTCTGCTTTCAAGTCATTCTAGATGAGGACATGTTGCCTGCGCATGGAACATATCGATTTGTACAAAACCTTCAGATAAGCAAGCTGGGATTCCCCGCTTTCCCTCTGGCCGGTGTTTTCTCTTGTGATTTGATGGCCTTGTGTTTTTACTTACTCTACCTTCTGGGTTGGATGTGCCGAGGCTTTGTTGTTACTTTGTTTTCGTAGGCAGCTTGTTTGGTGTTTTGTTTTTTTTGTTTATTTGCCTAACTGCCTCGGGTCCGGGCAACGCTCAAATCAATACTTAATTCTTTACTTTTTTACCTGCTTGATGCCAGATTCTTTGAATGCGGTTGCTCATTTTAGCCGGGTCATCTCTTTCTAAGCAAGCTGTTCTGACCCAGTTGCATGCTCAGGTCGAGTGATACAAGAGCTCACGTTCCTGCGTGCGCTTGTGGCTTAGAGCCTGCGCACATGCCTTGAGTTTACAGCGTCAGACGAGAGAGGCATGCTCTAGGCGCAGACTGCGGGTTGAAGCGGGGAGCCATTTGCCAGTCGTTTGTATGGCAGAGCTCTTGCAGTTTTGTTGTTTCCCCGGCCAGTACTTCGAGCCTGAAACAAGAGCACGAGCTGGATTTCAGAAGCATCTGTTTTCATGTCTGGACTTCCGAGGCTTCGCTTGGTGCGCATGGCGCGGCTCACAAGCCTTCTGCGGGCATTTCCGGAGGCAATGATGTTGCTGAAAGGCGCCGCAGGGTTGGCTAGGCCACTGCTCATTCAGCCAGAGCCTTCAAAGAGTCTGTCACTTGACGATTCAACAGTCAGTACGGCTTCGCGCCTTCGCGAAGCCTTCGCATTTATGCAGATCTCGAGATATTGGATTTGTAGATGTAGATACGATGTTTGCTGATGGGTACCTCAATAGTGCCTGACGTGTGCTCGGGGCTGACCTGCAACTGTCAGTGCAGCCACTAGTGCCTTGCCGAGCAAGGGTTCTCGTGACCCATACGCAATCAATCAATCTGGCAGCTATGTAAGCCCTGATACTCAACCGTACGGCCGTACGGTTAAGGGAACGAGGCCACTGCAAGAGCGATTGGGCGTGACTTACAGTGAGATGGGCTCGCATGTCATGTTGCACGATGGATGACCTTTGGAATTGCTTGCAGTGCTGCCCACCCTCAAGAAGGGACCGCAAAGCATCTCCAACTTTTAGCAGCTTCAGGGCTCCCGCAATTTCTTGGTGAAGTTCTCACCTCCTTGACCAGGCATCTCTGCAGCAATGCGGGGTGTGGTGACCACCATGTGCCTGCTGCTTGTCTCAGAAGGTAGAATTCAGGTATAAGCATCTAAGTTTTCCTGGACATGCAAGTCTTGGTCATTTTGAGTTCGTTGTAGAGTCTGAAATGGTCTTGGGGTCTTTCGTGTGAAGCCAAGCTCTGTCTCTCAGTCTGTTGGTGATCCTCTTCATGTGTGCCCTGATCTTCATGTTCATTGTCCAGGCAGGGGTCGCTGAAGGAATCCTAAGAAAGGGCAATAAAGGGCATAGCTCCATAGACTGGACATACTTTGGAGGCGACCTGTTTCTGCTCTGTACTGACCTGTCAGGGCCAGGACACAGACGGGGCCCGGAACATGAGAGACCAGTACTTTTCCTCAGTGTCCCACTCGATGAGGTCTGGTGCTCAAAGTGCAGGGGCATCCCATAGGGCACCAGGATCAAGTCATCCCAGAAGCCATAGTACGAGTCTTCGCTCACATCTTCCGTGGCAGTATTAAACCTGCCGCGCCTTTTAAGATTTCGTGTCAAGCTTTGACAGGTCACTTTTCATGCATGCCACTCTTCTGGACGGTCCAGCAGTGGCTTCTTGGCTATGCATCCCATGGCTGGCTTTGGCTGCAAGAAGTTGTAGCGGGCTGGCAATCTGTGGAGAGAGATTCGTGTTTTGGCCAATGCTCACACTGAGAGTTCAGTCGCGGGCACAGCACGGCGGTCCGCTATCCCTGCATACAGTAAGGTGTATGATGCCGCTCAGCTGCACAGCCTTGCAAGGCGTTGATGGAGAAGCAGTGCGCTGGTTCTCTTTCACTGAGCTGGACCGCCATGTATAGGAAGACTGAGTGCTGAGGAGATTGAGGACACACTGGGCAACTGGATGGTGCTTGACCAAGATTTTGACAGTCACACTTGTGCTTGGCCAGCGTGTTCAGACAGCTCAAGATGAGAGGCCTACCTCTTCCTGGGATGCATCGTGCTCAGCGCCTTCACTGTGCCTTGGCATCCATTGTCCTGCGATCTTCTCAATTTGGAATGGCCCTGCATTGCGGAAAGTCCGCATGTTCCAAGCAGCCTGCAGCTTTCATAAATGGGCTGAGGTGCTCAACATGCTCATCGGAATCTTGTGTGAAGCTGGGGGCCAAGCTTCCCTATCAAGTCCAAAAACGCTTGCCCCTGAATTCAAGTTGTTAGTGCCTGCCTCGGACAAAACACATCAGGTGATTAACAAGGTTTCTGAAGCTGAGAAGGAAGAGGCGCGTGTGCGACGCTTTGCAGGGAAGTCGCGGCAAACAGAGGTCTAGTCTGGCTGGGGTAACTTTACGAGAACATGCAGCGCAGTTGATCCCGTTGCAGTGTCAGAGGAATGGTTGTATAAGGCCCTTTCGCTTGTCTTGGCGGGCTCAAATTTCAAAAGCTATACTTAGAAAAGACAGGGATCTTAGCAAGCAGGGTGGAGAACAAGCACCGGTTGGATAGACAAAATACCCATGCGAACCACATGCTCCTTGCAAGAAAGCCTGCCTCACACCGTTTTGCTCTCAAACGCCAATAAAAGTACCTCTGCCCTCTGCCCACAGGCGCAGATCCGCTACTTGAGGCGCCACCTTCAGGACATCTTCGAGTGTTACGTTGCGGGCCCCAGTTTAGCTGCGGGATAGTCTGAGTACGACCCTGAACCCTAAACCCACATAGTTGCACTTAGGACGTGAACCAAGACAAGTCCATCGGGGAGAAGGAGTTTGCGCTGCTCTTGCAGAACCTGGAGTTCCGTGAGATCCTCTCAAAATTTGGCATCTCAGCTCAGCGCTATGTCGGTTGAGTTTTCAAGGGCACTAGGGCTCAGGACACAAAGCCTTTGGGGCAGCTTGGGGGTATCTTCCTCCCAGGTACAGATGTCCAGGACTTGCAGGACATCATGGCTGTTCCCTGGATGTATTGGCTAGCTGGAATTGACTGACAATGACAAATTGATTCTTTGCCAGCGGTAACGGTTCTGTGCTGAGATTTCACCCAGCAAACTGTTATAGGCTAAGATTGGCCATGCCTGCATGCCATCGGTTGAGTTTGCTGTTACCTTGACATGTCCTGCATTGTTCGCCACTGTTGCCAAGGCCGTCTACAACGAGCGCGCAGGTCTGCTGCCGTTCTTGATGTGGGTAACAGACTGGCTGATAGCGGTGACCGTTGCACCACCGACCCTCTTTGTTGGTCTTCAGCGAACTGCTCTCAGCCGCAGTGCAAGAAGCCAGCTCTGCAAGGCACAAGCGTTGAGTTCAATGAACTCATTGGAGTGGTTCTGCGTCTGAAGGCTGGTCTCAGCGATTCCTTTCGGGCTTAGTGCGAAAGAGAAATCTCGTCAGGGCGGCAACAATGCCCAAGTCACGGACATTGTCGACTTGCGAAAGCTTCTTGGCATGGTATGAGTGAAGGAGAGTTTAGTTCGTTGATGAGGGTGAACAATTGGTCCGACACTTGGGAGAAATTGCTTGGAATATTAGCCAGAGCTGAGGTTTGTCAAGCAGGTCTCCGACAAGTTGGATTGCCTCCTGGACCCCACCAAAGGCTGACTGGAGTTCAGGAATGATGTTCAGGAGTTTGTTGCAGTGTTTGACAATATTGTCAAAATGCCGTGTGCCAGTGCCCCGGGGCCCGCCGCAGCCGGGCGTGGAGTCCATCGAGGCACCATTTCAGCTTGGACAAGTGGTAGTGGCAGAGATAGCTGTGATCGAGCCAGCAATTTGGAACGTCGACTGGTGTAACATCTCGTTCCTTGTGCACTTGTTAAAGGTCCACATCGTCAAGGCGCGGGGCCTGCGAAACGCCGACATTGTTCCGCTGACAGGCCGGGTGTGGATTTCCCTTCGGGATCTTGATAGTGCAACTAGATGGCTGTCGTATGCTGTTTGTCGTATGCTGTCGTGATACTTAGACACGCGGCTCATCTCCAGCTGCTGACGTCTGATTACTTGTGCGCGAGGCAGATCGGACGTGTACTGCAAATGCCGGGATCTCAAAACCTGCCAGCAAGATGATTTCTGCTCTTTCAGATTCTTCTTTGTCTGCAGCAGCTTGCTGACGGGAGCAGAGTAGCTAGATAAATGCTCAGGCTTTAAGCGGCGTGACCATTGCTTCAGCATTATTTGCAGCATAGTGCATCTAGTGTGTTTCCCTACGATGTAGCCCTGAGCGGTCTTTGCTAAGGTGTGGTGCTCGGAAAGCCTGACACTGGAGTGGTGACAAAAGTTATCCACGTCGCCTGGCAAGAATTCTTGTTTGAGCATGCCTGCCAGCAACAGGACCTGTAGTCCACCTGGTGGACTCCTCTCACGCAAATCCTCACGAGTCACTAGCGACAATGCTTTAGTGCTGGGACAAAGATAACTTCATCAAAGTCAGCCAGAAACCTGCCAGGACACTACCAACCCCGTGTGGAACGAGGCTGTCAACAGCTGCGAATTGCATCTATGTGGTTTGATGTGGCTGTACTGTTGCTACAAGCTAAGGAAGCCGCATGTTGGAGTTTTGCGGTTCCAGTATGGAACCTGCCCAATCTTCGCCCCCTTCTCTGACCCCCATGAGACCTCGGCTTGCACCTGTCATGGTAGGGTTTTTTGCGCTCGACCCACAATCAAGCTTTTGCAGCTCTTCTACGGCCATGTCTGCTAGCCCAATCGTCTCGTCGCTGCCAGGCGTTTGTCCTGGCAGATTATCAAGCTGGAGAACATTTGCGCTTCCAGCTATTCGACCAAGACTGGCGGATCATCAAGGACTGAGTCTGGCTTGCTTGGCTGTCTGAAAGCTATGTGAAAGCCTTCCATTTCGCGGTCCATCAGTCCTCTTGATCCTTTGAGGAGGATGACTATCTGGGTTCCACTGTGCTGGAGAGCCACCGCTTCTGTCCACAGGCATGTGACTCTGACAAAGAATGAAGTCAATGACATTCTACGCAGCGTGCAACCTGAACCAGGGCTTCGAGGGGGAGTTGCGCCTATTTGGGTGTGGCAAAGGCCGGGGTCAAACTGCTATTGTCTTTCGATGGGGAGGTCAGCATGTGAGAGCATGTTCTGCGATCAATTCAGGCATTGAAGCCTACCTGGAAGTCAAGGCATGCGGCACATTAAAGCAGTCATCATTCTAGCGGTCACCTGCAATCGGCTTTGCAGAGGAGTATTGGTGCTGCAGACAGCATGGCGTGCCAATCGTTCTCATAGGAAAGTAGGGGTATTGATTGAGATTTTGCGCGCACGGAACACCTGCGGAAGCACTGCCAAACTCAAACAGCACCAAAGCATGCACTGAGAGGCAGAAAAACTGGCGAGGTGCTAGCAAGCAAGCATGTGCCATGATCCTGCTTGTCCTGCGTTAGCTTCTCTGCATTGCTGCGCTCCGTAGACTCTGTTCTTCTTCAACTGCCATTCTGTGACAGCTCTTTTTCTTGTATGTAGTTTGGTAAGTTTCGGTTGCGGAGTCACTGATACATCATTGGCTTCGTTTTTGTTGGGGATCATGCAATAAGATTCAACAGATTGGCGAGCTACCCTTTGGCCACCTGTCTGGCCTTGTGCATTGATCATCGGCTAGTTGGGGCCCGGCCAACAGTTGCATTCAGATAGCAGAGTCTCCACAATTACGAACACAATTTCAGGTTCATAAACGAGGCTCAGCCTCAGGAATCCGAGCCTCGAGCCCATGCTTGATACATAGGGAAGGGTGCATCGCCTTGTCCTGCTGTTTGCGTTAGCTTGGGGGGTCGCAGGATCTCGATCTGCTTGTTTGATGCTTTTTTGTCGTGCAACGTTCTTAGTGGCCTGCTCTGTGCCAAAAGCCGTTGCCAGATTGCAAACTTTGCCACTTGCAAACTGCTTGTGTCAGATTGAGTCGTTGGATGTCATTGGACCTGGGTGGTATGCTGGTAGTACTGCGGCATGTGGCACATGAACAAATGCTTCATGTTGCAAGCGGCAGGTAAAGGTGAAGATGCTGCCAGCTGCAGGCTTAGTTGTCGGAATTGGCTTACGGGGTGCCAGAGCACGAAGGTGTACAGGGGGCGGAAGACTTGCAAAAAGGAAGGAAGCACCGTTGATTGTGCTGAGGTCGAAGACAAAAGGTCAACTCTGTCTGGGACGAGCGTGTCGTCGGAGACAAGTGCAGGCCAGGCATGGCGAGCACATTATTTGAGCTGCCGTAGACCACAACTTGCTAACCGTTTTGACATATTTTGATCATCTTGCGTCGCTCAATGCTGGGAGTGGCACATGAAATCAAGTCTTTACTCTGTCCACGTGGAGGCACATCCAACATGGCGCTGCTACTTGCGCGGTTGGATGATATCTATGCTGGCCAACGGCGGCTTTCAAGCTCACTGAAACGCTTCTCGTCTCCAAATTCAGATTGCTACGCCCGCGGGTAGGGACACTTTGTAATGGAACATGCCATTATACGGTGGCCCAACTAATTTCCTCGAAATGCTAGACCAGCATCGAAAGAGATTTGCTTGGCATGTGTCCTTGCCAGATGACAAGGCATGGAGGAGCGCCTGGATGTTGTCGAAGTGGCTGCACGTCGTCCCAGTTCAGGAAGCATGTTTGAAAGGTCGGCTCTTGGACTTGGGCTTCTGGGTAACCGGGTAGCTTGCTCCTGCCTGCGCTTCACAAGGGATTCGCTACAAGACCATGGACCGTCTCTAGGCCTGTGTCCTGAGGTGACACGCACAACGCCAACCCCAGATTTGCGACTGTTCCAGCCGTGAGACTTCGGCACCTTGGAATGTAGATAGGTGTAGCATGCAAGAGCAGTTCTCAATTTCGGTTTGCTGAATCGTAGCTACGTACTGCCTCCTGAATGGGTCTCTAAAAGTAGCTTCACTGTTCTTGTGTGCTTTCCAAGTTGAGACATCCAGAAATTGGATCTTGCACAAAGGATTTTCCCATGCAACATGCTTGCTCGGCTGGAAGGGAGACCTAAATTCTAAAGTACCTGGATCGACAGAATCATCGTCGGGTGACTCTATGAAGAGGCTCCTTTGTGGACCGTCGGTTGCTCTAGCCCATTTTCAGCTCTGAAGGAGCATTGAGAAGTTCACGCCATGTCTTCTCGTTAGTTCGGACTCTCTGCAGAGCCTTGGCCTGTCAAAGTGGTAGGCGCTGAGCAAAGTCCGTTGGAACAAATGGGAGACAGAGTTTGTTGCCTGTTGCAGTGGCCTTGCCGTAGAATCTGCCAGAGTCCGACCGTCACCGCTCGAGATGTGCAGCCTTGCCAAACGGCACTGCAAGTGAGCCAAAGGCTGCAAAGGCTTCCAGATATTCCAGATTCAAAATGTTCGATTCAGATTTCTATCTTGGAGGCCCAAGGGAGAGCCGTGCAGCTTCTGGCCCTTGAGCAGGAACTCTCAGCTGTTAAGCGTGCGAAGGGGACAGGAACCTGGGCTTGGCTGCAGTATGCTGCAGGCCTTGCACTGGGACGACAGCTGAGTGTCCAGGAATATATAGTTGGCTGCAGCGCGTGCTGCTGTTCGAAGGCACCGCGAAGGCTGCGACTCTAGTTCGGAGGTTTCACCTCGCAAAAGAAGAGTGACGTCTCGCGTCTGCTCCCCAACCTGAAGCTATGAGGGCCCAGAGCAGTCGGCAGCAGGGAAGCAAGCTCCGTGTCTGCCCACTGCCTCCGCTCTGAGAAAACTTGTGGATTGCTCAGGTTCCCTCTACAGCAGAGGCGGAGAAAGAGGTGCCCAGCATCCTGAACTGTAGGTCAGTGCGCATGTGCACATTTCCTGCTGCATTTGGTGCTATACGAGATTGTCTAGGGTTCTGGCACATGACGTGCACCACTTCAGTGTAATTAGTCTGGTGGCTCTGGACAGGACGAAGAACCGCTGATCAGTTTCAGCTGGCTGGCAATGCTCGGCATGATTTGTATGGATTGCAGGTGGGGCAAAGATCTGAGAGAGCAGCAGTACTAGTTGTCTGTGCAGGGCAGGTCGCAAGTGTTTGCTGCTGTTCCTTTGGCTCGAGCTCTGCCTCATCCCGTAGTTACAACGCGGGGTTGGAGGAGCGGCTGTTTTGGGCGAAGTTTTGCTTGTCTTGCAAGTCTGCCGCTGGTACGCGTAGTGACATACTGATGACTGAACACGTGAAGCAGTGAAACTGGATCTCAGGGTGCGTATGTTCGTGTTTTCTGGCAGGGTTGACGTATGCGGATCTGTCTGTGCATGTAGGGCGGTGTATGCATAGAGGAAGTCTGTTGTTTTTGCTGGGTTGCTGGTCCATGCTCGAAGGACAGACATCAGCACGCCGTAATGCAGCTGCTCGGCCAGTGAATTGCAGATGCATGTGTTGGTGGTCCTTGCTTCACGGATAAGTGCAAGCGCACTCACGTTTATGCGCCCCAGTGCACAAAGTAGCGTGGCATGTGATCTGTTCGCATGGCACTGGAGGTCAATGATCCGTCAGGGAACCTCAGCTGCACCATTACCTTCCTGTATCTTCCTTTTGAGATCCTCTACATTGCTCATTGTACAACAGGCAAGAAGCATTATTTGCATACCAGTGCCAAGAACACATTCTAAGTTCGGGCAAGGCTCCGCTCAGCCAGCCACTCCGAAACACATGAGAGATAAAAAGGTCTGACTTTACAAAGTGACTTCACAGTAGACAACATTTCCACTTAGGGATGCAGGGCCTCCTCCTGTATACCCCTAACTATGATGCCTCTGTGAAGCAACAAAGGTTTTTACTGACTGAGCAGCCCTACAGGGGCCAGGCGTTGAAGCCCGGAGTGATCTCATGATCACTCCATAGCCCGTACGAAAGAAAGCAAAAGGTCTGACTTAACAAGCAGCTGGATCCACGGGCACTGTAATCGGGTTCTCCAAGGCGTCTTTGCCCTGCTTGCCCTGCCCCTCGCTGGCGGGAGGGCCCTGACACCCCATGGCGCTCCCTGGCCAAATCCAGTTGCATCATGCGGCAGTATCAACATCGAGCATGCAGCATTTGTGTCTAGGACTGGCCTGAGCTGTTGCAGGATTTGCTCGCAAGCTTTTTGATTTCTTTTCCAGCCAAGATCAACATTGAGAGCCTTGCGGGGGTGGAGAACATGCCAGCTGCAGTGCAGGCGGCGTTTGTTTCCAGCAACTACTCAGTGGCAGCGAGATTGTTGGTAGGCGAATCTGGTAATTACTTGGCTGGGATGGATTTAATTGCCCAAGGCCATGCAACCACCCACGCTTGCTGCTGTAGTCAGAACACGTGCAGGGTTGTCTTCGCTGGAGGGTGCAGCCATTGGGGCTAAACTCAACATGATGCAAGAGATTGTCATGAAGACTATGCTGTCATTTGGATTTTGCATTGGGGGATCTCTCTGACAGGGGGAGAAGGTTAAAGACAGATTCGGCACCGACTCACTACTCCGCACCAACTGGCAGACGCCCTTACTGCGATCTTTTTAGGATCACTTGTCCCACATCTAAGCTTAAACGGTGCAGGTCAGGAGTTGTGGAACCTTCCCTAACGCACATACGTCACATTGAAACGACGGTCTTGCTGAACTGGTTTCCTCAAGGGCAAGTGGCTCTTCGGGTAATTGATGCGCATTTCAGTATGCCAGAAGATTGAAATCTATGTCCATCCCCATGCACAGAAGTCTTGGTGTGAGTGCCCAGTTAAAAAATCGTCTGCGAGCCCGGCAAGGCTGCAGCCAGTGGATCATCAAACACTCAGCTGGGAAGTGTGGCAGGACACCAGATACCGAAGTAGCTTCGTAAGAGTTTCTTAGTTCTGGGGAGGTCTCTCAGTAAAATGACGAGGCCATGGATTATGACAGGTGCTGGAGTTTGCTGCCCATCATGTGATCTGCATGGAGGAGCGCTCACAAATCTGCTGAAGCATGGTGCCGGTGCAGAGGTGCGCAAATTTGGTACGTGCATTGGCAGCAAAGAGCCAGAGCTGATTGAGTTGCAGGGCAGCAACAACTCAGCCGTCGTGTCCACGATCCTTGAGATCGTCAACGTGACAATGCGGGGTAGGCTGCTGACTGCGCACAAGCACAGATCCTTGGCGAATTGCAGCTGGAGTCCCTACAGGCGTTCCTGCGAGCGAGTATACTTTCCCGTTTGACTGCACAATCTGGCATGGCAGTTTTGAGCTGGCTTCATAGCCCGTCCAGCTAAATCCTGTTTCCAGTAACTCTTTCTGTTGTAGTGCCTTTGGAAGACCTGAGGCGTGGACAAGATCACGGCAGCTGCAAACGAGTATGAAACCTGCCTGGCTACCTACAAGGCCAGTCGCCTGGCATTTTTGATCCACTTCGGCAGAATCACGTTTGTTGCAGGCTGCCGACAAGGTGCGATTCCCTAAAGTTTCGTGGCTGGGCTGCACTTCAGGCTCTCTGGGCGTCCAGTTTACTTCCAGGTTTTTCCTGTCCCGAGGCTCCTGCAGGGAGATTCTTGGGAAAAAGATGAAATCGAGGACGGGAGTCCGTTTGAGTGGGGGGACCCTTCTGCGGAGCTGAGTTTGGACAGCATAAGGGGCTATTACTCTGGCATCGGGCAATTCAGATGTGTGGTCATGATGACTGAACATGTCATGCTTTCTATGCATCTGTGAGGACTTTTTCCAGGCATATACCTGGTGCAAAAATTACGAAGAGAACGTGACCAGCGGGATCATCCAGTGCGCCGGGGCCTCAGAATAGGTGATTTGGATGTATTGACAAAGCCTCCAATGTTCCCCCCTTGTGACCGCCCCGTGTGCCATTCCAGGAATACACCTGCCAGAACGAGACAGTCTACGATTGCAAGCCCATTATAGCGGAGCGCATCCGGTTCCGGTGATTGACGGTGTTTTTATCTGGAAATAGTTTGGGCACCGATCCGATTCGCTCTGGTTCCACTGACTGTTGGATATCAGCCCCACCATGACTTGAAAGAAATGCTAGTTTGCGCGACCTTTGAATCCTGGGGTTTGTAGCTGGCTGGCCATCAACCGTACATGTCAGCGTGGCTGTCCAAGCTGGAGTGCAAGTTTCATGTTGAGACTTGCTTGAAAGCAATGCATGGCACGTTTGGGTTTGCAGGATACATGCAGTAAGCTGGACTGTGCTCCAGTCTCCAACGAGGGCTATCGGGCCGACTGCTTAGCCATGTGTGTTTGTTTTGAGAGTGATGAGCAGCCCGCAGGAACTTCCTGTCATGCATGCTGACAGCCACTGAACATATTGGAAGTGGCGAGGATTTTGCGCAGTCGTTCCCAAGGCCTATCTGGAGCGCATGCTCAGTTCCCTGGAGAAGCGGCTGGATGATGTAACTTGTCATTATTTGTTGCTATGGTTGTCGAAGTAGAGCTGGAAGTTGAATCTGTCATGGCTTGAAATGAATCCGGGGAGGTTTGTAGACTATCCTCACTGTGACCTGGCCTATTGCAGATGGTCCATATAACCCGTCTCCATTGAATTTTCTATGTTGTTTTCCACTTGATTCTCCATTCCGAAGCATCCTTCAAACCCCAAAACCTAAACCCTCGACCTTCACTAAGATGGAGAACTACACCTACCACGCAGACAAGTCTGAAAAGCTCCTGGTTTGCACTTGTGCTCTATTGTTTATGTTTATTACTATTATTGCTACTACTCTTATTATCTTAGAAAATCATGCCTCACCTTGTTGGGCCCCAGTGGCCTGGGTCCAGTGGCCAAGGTGCAAAAAGCTCCCAGAATTTGTGCATAAATGCTATGAGCAACTTGGCGAGGTCACATGTAGGCAGCTTAAACGGTGATGCAAGTGCAGGGCCTTGTGGACTTTGCAGTTGGGTCGACCACCACATTGATTGATCCTCAGACGAGGAATTGCAATGGCCAAAAGAAAGAAATCGCGCCAAAGAATGAGCTACCTGGCTTCTCATTCCGGGTGCCAGTCTCTACTTTCATGGCTTCGGGCGACATTCGCAGCAGCGGTTTTCCTATGCAAAGGGTTGCCACGGGCTAAGGGAGACGGGGCTTCTTGAAAGATGCGAACCGGAGCCACGGCTTGGAAACTGAGGACCATGCCGGGTGCGTGCTGCGCCCCGCGGGCCTCTGCAGAGACGGAGACCTGCAATGTGCTCAAGAGCAGGAGGCGGCCTGGGGGGTGCTCAGTACTGAAATGGACTCAGGGTGGCATGGCCTAACCGCCTGAGGAGGCTAGGCCGCTAGGAAGGGCGCAGCACTAAATCAGACACATAGAAGGCACAGCTGCCACGGCGTCAGTCGCTCACCCTGTCTGCTCAGGGTTGCCTGGGAGGACTACGACTCCTGAAGCTTGGCAGAACTTCAAGAAGGGGTATTTGCGAATTGCCAGCAAGGTGAGGTCCCGGGCTATGTTAGATGACCTTCTTCTGAGTTACAAAGGAACACGTAAGAAGCGATGGTTGTGCTTTTAGGACCTCGACCTGAGGCTACGATGCAGCTGCGACCAACTGGGACACAGTCAAGGTGCGCGGGGTCTGAGGCGACTAGGATTTCAAGCAGGCTGTTTCATTCCCCGACATAAAAGGAGATACGCAGTGTTCTCCTGTTGGTTGAAGCATTCTTAAAAATAATGTCATCTTGCTTGGATCAGCCACGAAGCAAACATCCCTTAATTGCTCATAGGTTTGTTCGGCTCCATGTTTGCCAGATTCAAGGGTTGTTTAAACATACCCCTGGAACATACCCC